CCCCCGCCAATCCTCAGATCCACGATGACACCTTGTTTGAAAGTCTGGCCCTGAGCTGCGTGGGCTGTCACTCCAAACGCTGGGGCCAAAGGAAACTGCCGCCGCTTCACTTTCAGACGCGGATACGGCCGGCCTTTGTCCACGAACCAGTCTTTTCTCTGCGGGCTCACTGGGTACAGGCCCGGCGTTCGGAGCCCCGGGATCGTCCACTTGCATGGGATTACGTCACCTGCATCATCCAGACCCTCGTCGAAAAGGACGAATATCACTTTCGGCGTCTTCTGCAAAATGGTCTCCCCCCCCCGGGAGACGCGACCCGCTCCTTCCTCGCCATCACACACCCATGAGTGCACGGCCCCCACGCGTCCGCGGAGCAGATACTTGTCCTCGCTGCGATCGATATGATCGGTGAGGGCCACGGGCATCCCCTCCGCGATGGGCAAAAACCCGTACAGGTCCCCGCTCTCCTTGTCGTGGCGCTGCAGCCAGGCCATCTTTTGGTGTGGCAGATCTGGCCGCTCGCGCAGCGCGTCGGGCGTCGGAGTGTCGCGTGCAGGGATGTACACCATCGGCTTCTCGTGCAGTCGGGCGTATTGCGACGCTCGGAGCTTGTTCACCTCATACTTGACGTCGTTATTCGGGAACACTCCGGGGGCACACCGAAACTTCGCCGTGTGCATGCGCGGATCATCCGGACCAGCGATGACGAGCCGGCGCCGTTCGCGCTCATGCCTGCACTGTGCACATTCCTGCCTGCGGATGCCCTTCGGGGTCACTGCGCGCTGACGGCGTGCTCCGACAGCGTCCTTCTGCGACGCCCCTGCGCCGTCACCCAAGGCCTGACACCTCGTGTTCCCACACTCAACCTGACCGTGTAGCCAACTTCCTGGCACACAAGTATCACGCCCGTGCAAGAAGGAATGTGTGTCTTCCGTGAGGTCTCCTTTGCGGAACTCCTCTTGCACGGATTTCAGCCAGGCATCGTCGCAACGCTCGCACTCCACTAGCTCCGTTACCCCCTGCACGCCCTCCTGACCACCCCCCCACAGGAGAGCTTGCCCGTGTAGCACTGGCGGGAGCGAGGTATACCTCCGAGCCTCCGCGATGCGTTCCGTTGGCACGTCTGCAAGGAACCCCCCGTCCGGAGGCGCCAGCTGCCAAAAATCTCCGCTCAGCACGACGTTCAAGCCGCCGAAGGGCCGCGGCACTCCGTCTTCCCCGCACTTCTGGGTGCCGACGTCCCGAATGACGCTGCGAAGCTTCTGGTCTACTTCGGCGAGCATCCGGGCGCTGACCATGCTGATCTCGTCGATGAACAACCACCTCCACTGCAGAACTCGCTCCGCTGTATCGTACTGAAGTTTCACATCTTCCCCCTTCTCGTCGCCACGTTTGACGGCGGGAATTCCGCAGGCGTGATGTATGGTGTCTCCACCGAGCAGCTGCGCCATGACTGCCTGGAAGGCCGTGATTTGAAAATGGACGCCAATCGTCCACTTCATGATGTCTTCGAACAGCTCTTCCCGCAGAAGGCGCAGCACGTGTGATTTCCCTGTGCCGGGCCCTCCGTGCATGCACCAACGCAGCGGGTCACCCATGCCCGCGCCCCCTCGCGCCTCCCCGTCCAGCTCTTGCATCGCCCTTTCTGCTACATGCTTGACCATTTCGAACTGCTTCGCGTTGACGACGCGCCGGCCTGTACCTTTGTCAGTCCTGAACTCCAGCTCCCTGAGCCACTCCACCACCTGGCCGGAAGTCGCCCCTCCCTGCGCCTCCACCTTCCCACTTCTTTCCTCCGCCGCCACTCTGTCGGCCATTGAATTTTCCTTGTTTCGCGACGCCCTTGCTGCGGCTTGCACGGCCTCCAGATCACAGCTGACCGCTGTCGGCCACGCGTTCCGGACTTCTCCGAGCGACTTTTCACTCGGGCGCTGGCCCCACACTTCCTGGGCCACGGCCATGCCTGCTTTCGAGTTCTGGTAATGGGAAGATCCACCCAGACCGCCCTCCGCGCCACCGTCTTCTTCTCCACAACTGCTGTCACCGTCTCCGTCGTCCCGCTTCCGACCACCGACGCGTGACTTCAGAGCCTCGTCCAACTGGTCAAAGCCCACCTCCAGTTCCTGGTCGCTCACGTCCTCATCACTCCGCGCGTCCTCCTGCTCCGCATCCCTCGGGCGCACGCGGTACACGCTGAGGAAATTGCCCACGTAACGCGCAGCCTCTTCCGACTGGACTCCGCCGTCTAGCCACGACACCATAGCGCCCTCCCACGTTTTCGAGGCCCGCCGCAGTCCGCCTGCGAACACCACGTGATCGTCTGCCTCTGACTGTCGCAGCGTCCACGGGTGGAAGTAGGACATGACTATCCGCGCGGATCGTTCGGCTTCTCCGTTTCGGCTGCGAGGCACGGGAGCCCCGAAAAAGGTCGGCGCCAACGGCCTCTTGTTCCTGACAAGAACCCACGTGTGCCGCAGATGCCGGCATCCGTCAGTGTCTGGAAAGGCAACCCAATCTTTCCCTGCGTCGCCCTTCACCATGTAATCCACCCCAGGCACTAGCTCTTCCGCCTGCTCCTGCCTCCGACCCCATTCCTTTACTTTCTGCTCCCCTTCTGCTGTCAAGAACGCGTGGTGCCTGTCCCAATCGGCTCTGGCGCCCCTTATACTGGTGGGGTACGCCACGAGCACAGGCCTCCAATACGTCACGAACTCGTACGGCGACAAGTGCCACAGGCCGTCACGCTTCGGGCGAAGTCCGTACAACATGGCCACATCCCTGATAGTGACTTTCCGGAGCCTCGGGTTTCGCATATCCACCTCCGCGAACTGTGCTTTGCGCCCTCCTGTTGTGCCGTCCGACAGCCTCTCAACCGTCTCGACGTACTCGCGTCCGTAGAAACTGGTCGTCTCACAGGTCTTGATTGACTCTGCCGACGTCACATCGTTATCCATGGCATACGCTCGAAGATTCGCACACTCCACCTGCCCACGAACGATGCCCTTCCCGTAGGCGTCGCTCATGATGCGCGTCGTCATCCGCTTGCCGACGTAGTTCGCATTCTCCCCGCGCAGCTGTCGGCTGAGCTTCTCGATCCCTCTGGAGCACTCGCGGACTTCATGGAAGGCCAGGGGCTGCCGCTTCGTGCAGTAATCACACGCATACCCTGCCTGGGCGTCCTGAGCCATCTGGACCACCTTGATGATGGCGGCGTCGTTCTGCTTCTCCGCACATCCTTTGCCGCACGTGCAACTCTCGCTTGTGATCGGCAACCTGTACGGCAGCTGCACGTCCGAATTGAACCGCTGCGCGGCAAGCATGCATGGATGTGTCCCATTCAGACTCTCATGGTTCATGGGCCCATGCAAACTCCCGACGCGGTTCCGCCTGCCTGCCTTCGGCATATCCAGCTGCGTCGCCAGCCCTGGGCAGATCACAACCGGATGATCGATTAGCTGCGTCGTTCGTGGGAAATCGGCCTTGCAGAGCTTAGGGTTGTCCTTTCGACGACACGCTGGCAAGGGCACCCTCTCCCCCGTCTCCGGGTTCTCCAGGTGCACGTGGTGCTGCTTCCGCTCTTGGAGGTACTGCACATCCTCGTCGAGGTACCTCCTCTCCCACGCGCACGCCTCCTCCGCCTGCCCTCCCAGTACATAATATTTCCGCCGCGTTGCGGCCCTCAGGGTCCCATCTGTTCCTGAGGCGTGTTCGGATCGGACGCGCTCTCGGTGGCCCTCACCCTCACCCTCCTCCTCCTTCTCAGCTCCTCCTTTTCCTCCTCCTCCTCCTCCTCCTCCTCCTCCTCCTCCTCCTCCTCCTCCTCCGCCTCCTCCTCCTCCTCCTCCTCCTCCTCCTCTCCTCCCTCTCCTCCTCCTCCTCCTCCTCCTCCTCTCTCCCTCCTCCTCCTCCTCCTCCTCCTCCTCCTCCTCCTCCTCCTCCTCCTCCTCCTCCCTCCTCCTCCTCCTCCTCCTCCCTCCCCCTCCTCCTCCTCCTCCTCTCCTCCTCCTCCTCCTCATTCTCCTCCTCCTCCTCCTCCTCATCCTCATCCTCATCCTCATCCTCATCATCTTCATCGCCATCATCATCATCATCAGCAGCAGCAGCATCATCACCATCATCATCATCATCATCATCATCATCATCATCATCATCATCATCATCATCATCATCATCATCATCATCATCATCATCATCATCATCCGCTCCTCCCCCTCCTTCTCCTCGTCCTCCTCCTCCTTCTCCTCTTCCTCCTCCTCCTCCTCCTCCTCTCCTCCTCCTCCTCCTCCTCCCCCATCCGCCTCCTCCTCCTCCCCCTCCTCCTCCTCCTCCTCCTCCTCCTCCTTCTCCTCCTCCTCCTCATCATCATCATCACCACCTCCAGTCCGTGCTGCCGATTTCACTATCTTCTTCATCTTAGTTGCCATATCTCATGTCTGAAGTTCTTCACGCGCCACGCTCGCCTTTAAGGTGTGACGCACGTGACATAGGCACGCGGTCACGTGACGCTGATGACTTATGTTGTTGTTCTTCGCAGCTGCTCGTTCTTTTTCACAGATACTCCCCCATGCATCTGAGGGTTCGATTCACAGGCACTCGGTGGATCTCGCGGCACCACAGCCTCGCTGCCCGCAGAGCTGCGCTGATCTGATCGTTGGTCGGCGGTGGTGCGCCCCGCTGATCGCGCGCAGTGCGGGGTGGACTAGGCCGCCCCAGCACGTGCGCGTAGCGCACAGCGGCGCAGACGCGGTTTCCGCGGGCAGAGGGCTCGACCTCTTTCTCTGCACTCGTCCTCCCCTTGAGCCCCGATTCTGTTAACACACCACCACCATCATCATCAGCAGCAGCAGCAGCAGCATCATCATCACCACCACCACCACCATCATCATCATCATCATCATCATCATCATCATCATCATCATCATCATCACCTGCCATGGGCGGAGGTCTTCGACTCCCTCCGCCGCGAGTTGGAGCTTCGGGTCACGGCGCTGCGCAGCGAGGCGGCGGAGCTGCTGCGCTGCCTGCTTGGCGGCCAGCCCGCGGAGCAGCCAGGCGGCCAGGAGAGGTCCGGCAGGGCCGACGAGCAGGACTCTGAGATCCGGGCGGTTTCGGTCGGTTTCGCACCTGTGTCGACTAGACGTAAGAGTGACCTTTCGCCGGAGTGACCTTTGGTGCGGCCCAGTGGGGCCCCCCGATCGCCGAACGCGATGCGACGGTAGCGTCCTGTGCGCCTGTGCTTGGTCCCCCCCCCGCCCCCAAAAAGCCGCGCACCGAAGATCACTCTTACCCAGGATCACTCCTGCGCGTAGCCGGCCTGGGGGCCATGACGGATTGATCTAGCTCGAAAGGTGTCGCAAAAGGATGGGGTTTGGGGCTCTGGTCGAGATTTTTCGAGATGTATCTTTTTCACAGTGTCGGATCTCAGGGGATCCCCCTGCTCTGGGAAGAAAAGCACGGCGGACGGCCTCTTGGCAGTTTTCGGCATAGCGGGGCCATTGCTGGGCCCAGGGACCTTGAATAATGGCTCGGGATGAAACGCTGGCCCTGGGCCAGGTGTTCGGCACCTTTGAAGGTCGGGGTTGTGAAACGATCCACGACGTCGGGGCCCTCTGCAGGAAGGAGACGCCTCAGGTGTCCCCAGCTCTTCGCGGCGTTTTGGAACCCTTGGAGCCCTCTTGGCGGCCACATGGGGCGCTCCCGAAAGGGCATCGGTTTCTGCGAAGGGTTCGGGTTGCACACAGACAGCCGCCCCAGGTAGTCCCGGTTGGCCTCAACAGGCCCCGCGAGTAGTCCCAGTTGGCCTCAACAGATTACAGCCGGGGCGGTCTCAACATCTTGGCGCCGCCGCTGGCGGCTCCCTCGGGGAGCTCCGCGCCTGATGGGTGGGGGGCCGTCGCAAGACGGGAGCGGCCCCGCTGGCGGAAGCAAACACGTCAAGAAGTGCAATTTTTTGTGCGGGGGTCCAGGTGTCCGGAACCCGCCACGTGGGCCGCCCAAGAAAGCCCGGGTCCGCTTTGGGGCCAGGGCCACAAGTGTGTCCCAGGCTACACGAAAGAGTGGCCCTTCGCCAGAGTGACCTGTGGTTTTCGGGCTGCGCAGTGAGCCCTTTCCCACAGGTCACTCTTGCCCAGGGCCACTCTTGCGTGCAGCCAATGTCCCTTGGCATCTCTCGGGCGTGAGCATTCCTCTCGGCGAGGACCATCGAGGAGCGTCGCAATGGACGTCCGAGCGATGGCCAGGTCTCTAGGACTCCTAGATGGGGTCCGAGTTGATGGGGTCGGAGGATCGCGCCGCATCGCCAGTACATCGACGATGCGGCTCGATGTGGAGCCCGTGTTTCCCACGCCGACGTCGCCGATGCATCGCCGATGCATCGCCGATGCATCGGCGATGCGGCGCGATCCTCCGACCCCATCTACTCGGACCCAAGGAGGCCTCTAATCGGGTTGACCCAAAAGGAGGTCCAGCTGAAAGGGGGTGGTGCAATAGATTTGGGGCAATTATATTGCACATATATTGTGCCAGAGATTTGTATTGCATTGTATCGCAAGTAATGCAGTGCACGCGAAAATCCGGCAATACGCTTGCTCCCCGGAATTCATTGCACGCCCCACATGCATTGCAACCCCACAAAGCTATTGCACCAAATCTACTGCACCACCGCCTTGTCGCTGGGACCCTCTTTTGGGTCAACCACGTCTGCTCGGACCCACTCTAGGAGGCCTCTAACCCCCTCCTCCTCCCCTCCTCCTCCTCCTCCTCCTCCTCCTCCTCCTCCTCCTCCTCCTCCTCCTCCTCCTCCTCCTCCTCCTCCTCCTCCTCCTCCTCCTCCTCCTCCTCCTGCGCTCGAGGGGCTGCGCGCTCTCTCTCGGCCCCCCTCCGCTCCAGGCGGAGCTCGGCGGTTCGGTTTTTGGGGGCTCGATCGGTGCTCGGCCCTCCTCCTCCTCCTCCTCCTCCTCCTCTCTCCTCCTCCTCCTCCTCCCCTCCCCCTCCTCCCCCCTCCCCCTCCCCTCCTCCTCCCCCCTCCCCCTCCCCCTCCCCCTCCCCCTCCCCCTGGGCCTCCTCTGCGGGGGTCCCCCATCCCCCATCCCCTTTCGGGACCCCCACCAAGTCACCCCCCAGTTGGGGATACACCCCTCGAAGCCCGAAGGGAACGACCTGCTATCCCCATCCAGGGGGGTAAATCGGCAAGCGGGGCCCAGGCCACGCTGCTAGGGATGGGGATCGGTTAAACGATACTCATAAAGGGGATAGGGGGTCATCGTTGAGTCGGGCACGTCCCTCTACAGGAGGAATATTCCGAAATGGTCAAAAACTAGTCTGGGGAGGATTTGGGTGGTATTTTTGACAATTTTTTGGAGCAACCCCCGCGCCGATTCCAGTGGGCCACCTCTGGCAGAGCACCCCAGAGGACACCCTGCTGCCGCACTGCGCCGACGCGGTGCCGTCCCCCCGCGGGGCGGAGGCGGATACCGTGACCACGGCCAGCGCCGCAGCGAATCGCTCCAGCTCCGTCGCCGAGGGCGAGGACTCGAGGGAGGGAAAGAGCACCCCATACCCCCACAGCTGGCGTCCATTTGGCCTGTTACTGAACGAGGCCGAGTCACGTGATGTTCTGCGATCGCGCTCCATCCTCCTCATCCTCCTCCTTCTGCTCCTTCTCCTCCTGCTTCCCTCAAAAACAAGTCAACAAACAGCAAGACATATTTGTTGTACTAAGCCGTCCGGCCCTGCTCGATGCTCTCACTGAATTTCTTGTGACGGCCTCGCGGCGGGTGTCACCGACCCTGACGGCGGGGCCTCCCCGAGGACCCCATGGGTCACCTCCCGGAGACCCCAGGGCCGGGGCCGGGGCAGGGGCTGGGCCTCGGCCGCCGCTGGGGCCGGGGCCGGGGTCGGGGCCAGGGCTGGCGCCAGGGCCGGGACCAGGGGCGCCCTTCCCCCCCCCCCATTGTCGGCGACTACGAAGGGTGTGGTTACGCCGGGGTGTGGTTTGCGATCGGCACCGTCGGGGCCTGGGGGGCACGACACTGTCCTCGTCGGGCCTCCTCGGGGTGCGGCGGAGGGCTCTGTCGAGGTCCTCGCCCGCCCCCCAGGATGCCCCTCAGGGTGCTGGTTGCAAACCACACCCTTTGCAAACCACACCCTTCGGAGTCGCCGACATTGGGAACCCCTCACAGCTACCCCCGTGCACAGGCGGGACCAGCCCTCGCGACCTGCCGGGGGACCCTTGGGGGGCGGCAATATGACCCGGGACCCCCCCCCCAAGACTGCACAATGACACCATATGTGTACCACTCTCCTCGCTCCCCCCTGGTGGCGTCGGGGGGAATGGCCGGCCCCCCTCCGCGTGTTGGTTTTTTTTACACAGGATTCCCAGGAAACAGGTTTTCGCTTAGATTTGTTTTCAAAATGTTGCTGCTCTCGCTGAAGCGCTGGCCTCATTTTCAGGCTACCGCTCGTTCCGAATCGTGCTCCAGCTGCAGCGCTGGCGTCATTATTCCAGCGCCATGCCACTGGATGGTTTTCGGTCCTTCCAAACAGGCCCCAAAACCTGGAAACTGCCCACCCGAAAAAACCAGTGATTCCACATTCGGTGTCGGTTCGTTGATTGTTTGCCTCGCATAAGCCCCCCCCCACTTTGGGGCGTCGCCACGCCATGCTATGTCAGGCTACGCGTCCTCCGAGTCGTGCTCCCGCTGCAGCGCTGGCCTCATTTCCGCGGTTCCGCTCATTCCGAATCGTGCTCCCGCTGCAGCGCTGGCGTCATTATTTCCGGCGCCATGCCACGGCATGGTTGTCGGTCCTTCCAAATATATCCCAAAATCTAGAAAATGCCCACCCGAAAACCATCGGAAGTGATTCCACATTCGGTGTCGATTCGTTGATTTTTTGGACCGCAGAAGTCCCTCCCACTTTAGGGCGCCGCCACGCCATGCTATGTCAGGCTACGCGTTGATCCTCAACACCATGCTATGCCATGTAATGCTATGCTCTGCTACGACATCCGACTGTGCGAATAGAGATGAGATCTACGCCATGGTAAGGGATGGGAGGGAGGGTTAGGACGTCTGATATGACGCGAGCGCACCTAGCTTGCCCCCACCCCCCTCCCCTACCCCCCCCTGTCAGGGAAAGGAGACAGTAAAGGGACTCGACTGAACTACGACGATTCTTGTCTCTGTTCGTTTTTCAACTTTCTCGGGACTGGCGACGGCGACGACGACGAAGGCGACGGCAGCGTCTCACATACGCCGAAGGGTCGGCGGATTTTCTGAAGGGTTTCGCTTGCAGGAGTGCTCACGGTCAGGAATTCTGCCTCAGCGTATCGCGCCGCCAGTTCAGCCTCACCACGCTTCGGCGCGACACGCTAACCGCAGCCCAGTCCTCAGGCACCAACGTCCCGAACGTTTCGCAGCCTCCTGCCCCCCGGAGCGGAGCGACGCGGCATGCGTTTGCAAGGCTTGGCGTGTCGCCGGGGCCGCCGCTGCGAAACGCTAAGCAAAGGTTCCCGACCGCATCATGACGGTGTCGGGCCGAACGAAACGGGGGGGATAGGGGAAGGGGGGGGGTACGAAATCTGCTGCATGCAGCTGGCTTCGGCCCCGCCGCTGGGCCCATTCCTCGATACATGGGCGCCTCCCGGCGCCGGGAGGCGCTGGGAAAATCAGCTACGTGAGCTGATTCTCTACCCATTGTTCATTTCTAATTCTTCGAAAGTTCTTTGATTTTCTGGGGGGCCAAGATCCTTTCATTTCTAAGTGTTCTATCCTGGGTCTTTACCTGGCCACTACGGGGCCAGGAACAATTAGAAACGAGCACAATCATAAATGAGCACGATTAGCGCGTGCAGCCATTGCGCCGCGAAGCATTGCCACTGCAAAAAAAAAAAAAATTAGCACGATTAGAAATGAACGACGTGTACCCTACCCTTTGCTATCCCCCCCTTTCGCTCCCCCCGAGTGGCTCCGCTGCCCCCTCGAGGACGGGGACGTGGCGGCCCTCGAGAGCGCCATCGAGCTGGCGACCTCCCTGGGCGTGGACACCTGCCCCGCGGAGGAGGAAGCCGCCGCGGTGCGAGGCCTGCTGAGTCTGCGCGTGGTGCCTGGAGAAAAGAAAACTCCTCCTCCTCCTCCTCCTCCTCCTCCCCCTCCTCCTCCTCCTCCTCCTCCTTCTCCTCCTGCTCCTACTCCTCCATCTCCTCCTCCGTCTCCTCCTCCGTCTCCTCCTCATCCTCCTCCTCCTCCGGAAACGTTTGCTCGGCGACCAACCCAGACCCCCTCGAGTCGAGAACAAAATCGCGAGGGGAGGTTTTCGGCAGTCTTCGGTCTCCAGGGCCCTTCACGGGACCGGGGGCCGTCGAGAGTTATTCCCTACCTAGGCTCTGCCTAGAAGGGTTCTTACCGTGTTGGCTTAAAGGGCCGGGCCGTGGAAAACGCCCCGGGCGGTTCCCCCAGGATCCGCCCCGCGGTTCCCCCAGTGACGCTTCCTTAGCTTAGCGTTGCTTATCTCAGCTTAGCCTAGCTTCATTTAGCTTAGCCTAACCTAGCTTAGCCTAGCCTAGCCTAGCCTAGCCTAGCTTAGCTCAGCTTGGCTCAGCTCAGCTTAGCTTAGCTTAGCTTAGCTTAGCGCAGCATCAGCATAGCATAGCATAGCAAACCATAGCATAGCATAGTATAGCGCAGCATAACATAGCGCAGCATATCACAGCATAGCATAGCATAAGATAGCGCAGCATAGCATAGCATATCATAGCTTAGCTTAGCATGGCACAGCGCAGCTTGGCTTAGCATGGCACAGAGCAGCATAGCATACCATAGCATAGCGCAGCGCAGCATAGGATAGCATAGCATAGCGCAGCATAACATAGCATAGCATAGCATAGCATAGCATAGCGCAGCATAGCATAGCATGGCATGGCGCAGCATAGCATGTCATAGCATAGCCTAGCATAGCATAGCGCAGCATAGCATAGCATGGCATAGCATAGCGCAGCATAGCATAGTATAGCGCAGCATAGCATAGCATAGCATAACATAGCATAGCATAACATAGCGCAGCCTAGCATACCCTATCATAGCATAGCATAGCATGGCGCAGCGTACCATAGCATAGCATAGCATAGCCTAGCATAGCATAGCGCAGCATAGCATAGCATAGCATAGCATGGCATCAAAGCAAAGGCAAAGCAACAGCAGCAACAGCAAAGCAAAGCACAAGCAACGCAAAGCAAAGCAAAAGCAAAAGCAAAGCTAAGGAAAGGCAAATATGTAGATGTAGATGTAGGTGTAGGTGTAGATGTAGGTGTAGATGTAGATGTAGATGTGAGTATCGCTGTTGATGTTAATGTAGATGTAGATGCAGGTGTAGATGTTAATGTAGCTGTCGGTGTAGATGTAGATGTTGCTTTCCTAGATGCTCCAACTCCTAGGTAGGGTCGCACTGGGATAATTCTGGATGAAAAATTCGACTACACGTAAGAGTGACCATTCGCCGAGGTCGCCAGAGTGACCTTTGGTGTGGACTCACCGAGGTCCCCCCGATCGCTGAGCGCGATGCGATAGTGGCTACCTGCGTGCTTGGAATCGGCCGCCTCGCGCCCTGTTAGTCCGCGCACGAAAGGTCACTCTTGCGCGTAGTCGAAAAATGGTCCCAGAGAATGGGTCGAGATCTCTGAGGGTCCACGCTGTGGACAAGACCTGATGTCGGCGTGCCGCGACGCCGGCTCTGGCCCACGCTCTGGCGCGTGACCCTCACCACGTCCCCGCTTCTGGGCGTCGGCGCCCCGAGCTTCTTCCCAGCGCCCCACCGCTCGGAGCGGGGCGACAGTCGGGGCCGCCCTTTGGCACGCGAAGTAGAAGTTCCCGATCGTAGGCATAAATTGTCGGAGGTCCGCGCGGATCCCTTGGGTCGGCGCTGGGCCCCCCTGGCGACGCCTCCTGCGCCTCTAAGGTCGGCACTGGGTCCCACTGGCGGCGCCGCCCCCGAAGGCGCTCCGCGCGCCAGGGAGGGAGGATCCGGCGCCGATCCGGGAGATCCGCGCGGGCCTCCGAAAGGTTGTGTTTGTGTAGTTGCTTATTCTTCTTCCTTGTGCTATGACTAGTACGATTATTGTGAACTGCATGTTCATGCTTCTTCTTATTACGATTATAACTTCCATCACTGTTATTATCCGTCCTCTTCCAGGTGTGGGGCACGTTCATCCGCTTCTTCCTCGTGCCCCTTGGCGTCTCCTTCGACGCGTTGATGGAGGAGATCGCCCGCCGCTTCGGCCTCGGCCCCGTCGTGCAGCAGCCGTCGCGCCCGCGGACGAGCCACCAG